TGAGAGTCCTTCGCTCACGTGCCATGACGTAATGGTCGAAGGTGACGAAGTCGAAGGATCCGTCGGTGGCTACTCCTCGGCTCCACGGGTCCATCGGCACTACTACCACCTGCATTCGCATTTTAAATTAATTAATATATCCATTAACTATTGGACCATTTCAGTCGCTCGGTCTTCGAGTTGGTTAGATTGGATCGGCTTTGAGGGGCTCACGGGATCATCTCCCTCGAAGTCGTTGGTGCAGAGTCGGCCGTTGAAGATGGCAGAGACGTGATAGCCTTGCTCCAGGGCGATCACCAGTTCCCCATAGTCTCTCAGATACGTCGGCGGCGGGTCTGAACAGAAAATCGAGGTCGTGTGAGAGAGATCGATGAATCGATTGCTGTTGCCTCTCGTCTCGTCCCTGTTGGGTGGTTCGATCGAAGGGAAGAGACTCGGATGGCACTAGATTTTGAGTTTAATAATTGATTCGGGTCGTCGCCGTTCTCCATTTTGGAAAAAAAGGAACTCATGCAAATATAAAATGCACGGCAGAATGAAAACTGATCCTCGGCCGTCTCTCTTCGCGACTTATTAAGTCTCAATAAGAAAATTCCATCGTACGGAGACCAAGACGAATTGCGGAGCAGAAAAAAAGGAATGGGGAACCAAATTGGTCCGATGACAACTCGATGCCTGATTTTGGAGGAGGGTGCAGGGGAGGGGGAGGGAGGGGGGAAGGAGTGGAGGGAGGGAGGAGGGAAGGGTAGGCGCCGTCTGGTTGCTGGCTGCCCGGTCGTCCTCTTTGCATTTTCATCTCCCCATTGCACAGGCTGAGAATATTAATCCGTTGTCGTTCTGGCCTTTTCCAACTTGAGTACGCACCTGGGGTATGAGCAAAAATTTTTTATGTACCCCTCGGTAAAGTATTTCATCGGGTTAAACTGGGGCTTGTCATAAACCAGATCGTGTATAATTTTACTCTCACAAGGTTTCTCTTTCTTCCACTTATGCTCCTGCCCGCAATTGAGAATTTCAGCTTTCGATTTATCGTACCTTTACGTTACCGAGGCCCATGGGCTTGGTGCATCGTGATGAACCGTGATCCCTTTAAGCGTGCGATGCGCGACTGTTTGCACGTGAAGAATCGAGAGACTGCCGATGCAAAATGTTTACGCATATGATAAAGGGCGATATATTTAGAATGCTTCGCGAAAAGGTTCTGTCACCATACGAACTTCTACAGTCTCGCAAAATTTAAATTCTCAAGATTCAAGAAGTCAAAAACGAAGGCGAATAAAACACCCATACATACACTGTTGAGAAAATTTCCAAGTAAATACAATATATGGCAAAAACTCGGGTTAAAGCATAACCGGCTGCAATAGTCGACGAGGTCATCAGATAGCGTCGCATTTGACCAATCAGCTCGACTACTGAGGTCAAGCCAATACCAACAGTCCGATTTCCGCATTTTGCTCTGGAAGAAAAAAACGGCCGCAGGTCTGGGGAAATCCCAGATGCAACATATTTTATTTTTCCCATGGCTTCGTTTTTAACTTGATTTTATGTAATTCTTTGCCCTTCACTTTCCGTGCAAGTTTTTCCCGTTTTTCATTCCCGAAGGCTGGAGACATGAGTTTCTCCGAGAATCCTGCGTTTCAAAACTTCAACTTCTCAATCCTCAATTACTCAAGTTGTCAAAAGATACAAAGCGTCCCCACTCAAGGAAACCTATTTCATACTGGAACCCCCCGGGAAATTAGTCGTTTCACGAATTGAGAAAAGATAACTTTCACCTCGTTCTCATTGTTATCATGTGACGTAGAAACATACGCGCAAATGGAATTTACAGTTTTCAGAAAACGTGGATTATACACGCTTCGCTTAGCGCTCTGACAGATATATCACCACTGCCGTGATACATCCGACGGTTTGTATGAAGAATGAAGGTGACCCTCCTCCCCTCCCCTCCCATCCCCCCTCCCGGTCAAAAGGACGAAACGCAGAAGATACCTGTCTGGGCATGGAGAAGAGGAAGGAGGAAGAAGAAGAGGAGGATCCGGACGGACATCGTTCACTTGAAAGTCACAAATCCCGTGC